CAGGGCCTAAAGGGGCTCCAGGAGAGCTGAAGAGGGACTTGGGACAAGGACCTGGAGGGACAGGACAAGGAGAATAGCTTCCCATTGCCAGAGGATGGGACTAGATGGGATTTTGGGAAGGAGTTCTTCCCTGTGAGGGTGATGAGGCCCTGACACAGGTTGCCCAGAGAAGCTGTGGCTGCCCCATCCCTGAAAGTGTCCAAGGTCAGGTTGGACGGAACTTGGAGCAACCTGGGATAGTGGAAGATGTCCCTGCCCGTGGCAGTGGGTGGGATACAATGAGCTTTAAGGTCCTTTCCAACCCAAACTGTCCCCTGAATCCATGATTCCATGGCCTCTGCCTATCCCAAGAAGTCTCAGTGTCTTCCCTGTGGGGCTTTGTCCCACTTTGGTGGCATGAACCGATTCCCCATAGAACGATCATTTCCCACTTTCAGGAATGTGTTTGCATCCAGGAGTTCTGGATCTGGGGCATGGGGAGATTCCTTGGTTCCTGGGGAAGCAGGAGGAGTTTGCTGGGGGGAGCTGGGGGTCCTGTGCTGGTGGGCTGTGGTGCAGCTGGAGCAGATCAACCCCCTGCCCAGGGGCCAGAGGGGCAGGGCTGTCCCTGTGCTGCCCCGTGCTCAGCTCCGGGCACTGCCCTGGGCTCCCAGGGCTCTGCTGTACCTGCAGGAGCTGGCGGAGGAGCTGATGTCTGTGTGCCAGCCCCCTGCTCCCACCGAGGAGGCCCCGGAGCCAGAGCCCGAGTGTGTCCAGGGGAAGCACCGGAGCCGGAGGAGAAAGGAGGAGGACACGGACAGCGACGACCCCGCGCGAGACGCCGACTTCGTGCCCTCGCAGGAGGTGCTGCAGGCCGAGGAGGAGGAGGAGGAGGGCAGTGATGTGATGCTCAGCGAGGCCTCGGAGCCAGAGCTGGAGGCGCCCCGAGGGCACGGCGGGAGGACGGCGGCCACAGGGGTGAGGGCAGGGGCAGGGGCTCTGCCTGGGCCCCTCAGCTGTGTCCCAGCACAAACAGCTCCGGGTGTGACAGCAGTGACAGGGGCACGACAGCCCTGGGGCAGGACATGGGTGACACAGGGCCACGGGCAATGGGGATGGGAACAAGGACAGGTCCTTTGGGAGAGGGAGCAGAGCCTGGGCTCCTGCTGGAGCAGTGAGAGGTGGAGGTGGGTCCTGGAGGGGTCCTGGTATCCTGGAAGTCCCTGCAGTGGGGCTCTGTGTCTTTAGCCCAGCGTGACACTGTGACAGTGGCTGGGGAGAGCACTGTTCTCAGGGGCTGGGCTGGTGCTCTTTGGGACAGGCGAGTCCCCCAGGGCTCAGGGGACATCTGGGACCTGCTCTGAATCTGCTCTTGTGCCCAGAGATCCAAGCCCCCGTGCCGAGGCCTCGCTCCCAACGGCTTCCCCAACTCCATCATGGCCCCAGTGGAAAAGAGCTCCAGCCTCACCTGCAGCCTGTGAGCAGGGGCTTGGGGTGCTGGGGGGCTCAGGGGGCCACGGGGTGATCA